CATAAAAATTACCGTTACCAAAAACAAAATCAGTTTTGTTTTTTTCATACCCTTGCTGAGACTTATCCCACAATGTCTTAACCCAAGAAGGAAGCAAAATAGGTTTCTTCAGGGAAGCAGCTACCAAGTATTTCTTGCTGCCAACTTCTCCAGCTATAAGGTGAGTTACTGACACATTGAGGTCTCTATATACACATCCACCCATCATTTGCACATATTTATGAACTTCTTCCTGGATGTGGGAAAAAACAGAGAAAATTATCAGGGGAAAAACGAATCTATGTGACAGTCATGTCCACTTTATACCAAAAACCATGGATTTCACTTGTCCAGGATTTCCCCAAACTATTGTTAAAAAAATACTAAATAGATATATATGGAAACCATAAAAACATAACTATAATTTCCATTTTATTTGCACATTTATGATAAACTGAACATAATATAAACCCTCAATTAAAACATAATAATTACGCTGTATGAGCAAATTTTTGCAGATGGTTGATGTTTTACGTAGTATTACAAAAAAGGTATCAGAATAAAGTAAATATATATAATCGTGTTTGAGGTGTATTAATACATGAATAAACTACACATAGTCTACAAGCTACAGAAGACTTGATGGATCTAGACACAGGCACAATGAGACATACATGCTCTGACTGCTGCTTTAGTAATAAGCCATGCAAAGCAATTATCAACAATAACCAGCTGAACAATCCATCCTTGGGAAGGCCTTACCCTCACATCCTTCTCCAGGCTGGTACAGGACACCGTGACATCGGCCATGGTCATGTTGTACACAGGATACTCGGCTCTTGGGACACATCGCTGCGACTGCATGCAGTACAGAACTACCTGTGGTCCAACAATCCTACAGCCAAGCTGCAATAAAATAACAAGAAAAGCACAAAGAAAATAAGCAGAGGGTGCACTGGCATCAGGAAGGCTTTCCTTGTCCTTGAATTCTCAGGAAGGAGGGGTCTTTGGTCTGTCCTCCACCTTCTCTTCTAGAACCTCCAGGTAGCTGACAGTTTTGTTTTTACTTTCAGTTCTGGATTTTCTATACAATCCTTGCAGATTTTCTGGCCTCAGTAAAAGCAGCTGATGCTATGGCTATGGCCAGGAATTCCAGCTAGCCTATCTTTGTCCACTAGACAACTCCTTGCAGATTCAAACCAAATCATGTTTATCAGGAGATAAATAGTGTAAGAACCAGCTCAGGGACTCCAGCAGAATCAGAACTGACCATACTGTTTGCTTTTCCAAATTACTGAAAATAATCATTATGCTTTGCTGGTTACTCTCCTCCCTAAAGACAGGATGAAGTTCACACTGCTACACAGTGCAGGAAAGAACATGCAGGATGTAAATATGGACATTAATGCTTCTAAAAAGAAAGAATAGAGCTCAAAGTAAGTTGTTGATGTACCTTTTTGAGATGACTGAAACCCGCACCTCTGAAAGGATCACAAATGTAAAGTGATTTATCATTTTCTTTTATATTGAGTACTGATTCTTCTTCAAGGATCTGGAGATGTTCTTCTGACTGGAATTCTTTTATAGACTGCAGGTAAATGATACATACAATAACATTTATTTAATTAGCAAATAATTAATAAAGAGGCAATCCTTTGCAAGCTAAACAAGTGCACATCACTGAAACAGCTCACAACCAAGCTACTATGAAAACAGGTATTGGCAGAAGAAAGGGCTAAAACTCCTCATGGGTGTCCCCCTCATTCCCTTGAGTCTTCACAATATTCTGACTTAAATATTTGGCACAGAACCCTTCAGGACCCGATCCTGCCATGCACCTATATGGTGCCTTTGGCTCCCAGTAACCTCCCAAGGTGTAAAACAATGCACAGTGTCCTTCCAAAGATTGTGCTTAGATGAGCGACCACCATCCGGGCCTTGCAGGCTACATGTCCCGTTCCTACGTGTCACTGGGTCCTGAAATTGAAGTTATTTCTTGAAGTTCTCCAACAAAACTGTTCTTGTTCGACAAGCTTTATTACACACTAAGCACCTCTGCTGTAGAAACAGCTTTATTTCCAAGTGTACACATGTAAGTTATCTTGTTGTATGGTACATGCAGCTAACTCAGACACAGAAATCACATGCCAGTTCATCAAGCTCACACAGGTGACCAAACCCACTTACCTCAAGAGCTTTAGAAAAATACTCCGAACTCCCGGAAGACTTTATGAACTTCACAAAAAACGGCTCCTTACTACTTCTCATCCTTCAACTAAGAAGCAAAACGCAGTGAGCGCCCTGGCATTCCCGCCGCAGCCCGGAAGCCCTCTCGCCCCTGTCCCTGTCCCCGCAGGACCACAGGCCCAGCACACGCCGCCCGGCCTCGGCGGCACCGACTTCAAACGGGAACGGCGGGGCGGGGACTGGCCGGCCCCCAACCGAGAAGCCTCTTCCTCACCGGGAGGCTCGTTCCCCACGGGGCCCAAAGCCCGCACAGAAGCATGGAAAGGTCCCTGCTGGGCAGGGGGTACCTGCCGCCCCCAATCCCCCCACAGACCCGACTCCTCACCCGCGCGGGAAAGCGGCGGTTCCGGAACTGCGCAGGCGCGGGGCGGGGTCTGCAGGGGGAGGTGGGGATAGGGCGGGGCTTCTGTGGCACAGTCGGGGGCGGGGCATCGGCGGGTGTGGGCGGGGCGGGAGCGGGGGTCGCGCGGCTGCGCGCCTGCGCTCCGCCCGCAGGGGGCGCTGGGAGCGCGCGTTGGGGAGCGGCCGGGGAGAGCGTCTCGCTGAGGGCGCGCGGGGCCGCAGGGAGAGACGGGAGGGGAACATCGGGAATTACAGGGAAATAACGGGTTGGGAGGGACCTGAGAGAGCAAATAGTCCCAGCCTTCCCTGCCACGGGCAGGGACACTGAATACCCTATAATCTATCCTGACACTGAGCACTGCCAGGGATAGGGCATCCACAACCTCCTTGGGCAACCTGCTCCTCACCACTGTCACAGGAAAAAATTTCTTCCTAACATTAACCTAAATTTACTCTCTTTCAATTTGTGCCCATTCCTCTTCGTCCTATCACTGCAGTTCCTGACGATAAGCCCCGCCCTGGCTTCCCTGCAGGTCCCCTTCAGATACTTTGTACTGGGTTTGCAAGGCCTGGTTTGTGGTAGCTGGGGGGCTACAGAGGTGGTGCCTTCTTTGAGCAGCTGCTAGACCCTTCTTCCATGTCCAGCAGAGCCAAACCCTGGCAGCTCCAAAGGTGGACTGGGCCAATTAGAAATGGCAATAATGCCTTTGTGATAATATATTTAAGAAGAAAGTAAACCAAAATGTTGTTGCGCAGTAGTAATTGTGGCCAGAGAAGAGTGGAGTGAGTTGAGTTTTTCATCAACTGTCACCCCCAAGTCTTTCTCCACAGAGCTGCTCTCAATTGCTTCTACACCCAGCCTGGAGTTGTGTCTGGCATTGCCATGACCCAGGTGTAAGTTCTCACACTTCACTTTCATTCTAGTAGCTTGTGGCTTCCAAGCTGTGGGCGAGAACATCAAATGCTCTCCTTCCAGAGCAGGGTCTGGAATCTTGTACTAGTCTTGGCATCTGCCTGAATCATGACAGGCATGATCTACACATCCAATGGACCTCCATTCCATCCTTAGTGACCACAGTGGCTTGCTGCTGTTTGCATAACACTGATAATGCCTGTAGTGGGGGGAGTCATTCCATTAGAATATTTTCTTAGGAAAAGAGATCACAGCATCATTAGGTTGGAAAAGACCTCTGAGATGATCAAGTCCATCCCATGACCCAACACCACCCTGTCAACCAGACCATGGCACTGAGAGCCACATCCAGTCTGTCCTTAAACACCTCCACAAATGGTGACACCACCACCTCCCTGGGAAGCCCATTCCAATATCTAATCACTCTTTCTGTGAAGAAATTAATCCTAAAAAATGTTTTGAATGAGGAAAGCACCAAAACCTGCGTGGAGTAATGCATGTTTGTTGGCATCAAACTTTACAGTGAGACCACATGATGGCACTGTAATCTTAAGGTAAGGGAAGTGTGTGCACAAGTCCACTGTAATTGTTAGATATTAGATGGATTACCTAATTACTTAGGTCACTATATACACTGGAATTCTTTTATATGCTTATTTATTTTAAAAAAACACTAATAGCACCTGATATCATTAATAGCACCTGAGAAAGGTGCTGTCAGTGGGGGAGTTTCTTAATTAAATCATGACAATGAATCCCTCAAGAAAATATAAAGAGAGAGCTCTATAAAGAGGAACCAAATAAATGTCAGTGCTTTTTTTCCACATGAAGCACCATTCTTAGTGTAAATCAATTCTCTGAAGTGTTCATTGAGAATGTGGTATAAGGATCAAGTTATCAGACCAGGCTGATGCTCAAAGCTATCTAAAACCAGTTCAGAAGTCACCTGGCTATGGTGTCACCCTAAACTCTTGCCTGTTCCAGTTCCTCAAAGAGATACTTCAGTAACCTGGTTCTACTTGCAAAAAAATCTATTGGCATCTAAGATCAGTATGAATTGTCTGAGACACTGCGTTTCCCATTGGTAAATGTAAACAAAAACAAATGTAATGACAACCAAAATAGCATATTTATTATTAGATTATTAGTGGCAAGAAGTTAAGAGCACTGGATTTATCTTGATGGTCCTGTGTTATTTGATTAAGCTGGTTCTTGGTCCACTGGTAAAACCCCAATTTTGTCCTGCCTGTTTTTTCAGTACTGTGAAGAGGAATTTATTTTCCTTTTTCATTCTACAGGGCTATTCCAAAAAATAAGGGGATGGAGGTGGGAAAGGATCAGAAGTCTAACAAAAAAGTTAACCAACTTTAATGGACAATATAATAGAAGGTATTATTATAGTTGTTGGCAGAGTCCTTAATTGAATGTACCAGCAGTGCAACCACACACTGTGTTTTCAGTTGTCTCCTTGAACATGGATTGTCGCTGTTGGACACAAAATAAAGATGCTTGACTTCAGTTCAAAGGCAGAAGATCAGAAGGCTTTATTGTCTACTTTTTAGTACTTTTTATTAGGTGTTCTGATACAGACTTAACATGATTGGTAAAAGGGAACACCTCTCTAGTCCTATTGGTGGAACAAGAGAAACACAATCAGCACAGCTGTACAGATTTATTTTGAGAAACATAAGTTATTTACAGAAATTGTCCTTGAAAGAAAGACTCCTGAGAAACCTTCCCTTGGGGAGAAATCAGCCACTGGCAGGCTGAAAACCTTTTCAGACTCAGAAATATCAGGCTCACAGTGGATCACAGTTCATTGCAGTAGCTGAATATGACTTGTTTTCATGTGCTGAAGTGTGATCCCTTTCCAGTGAAGTGATGAAAACTCTTGATTAGCTGCGATCCACTGGGCCACCAATCTTAGTTCCACCTCCTTCCTCTGGAAGCTGCTTGTTGCTTAGAAAGATCCATGATTAGAGGTCCATGCTGTAGAAGGATCAGGGCAGTTTTGACATGCCTCTAAGAAAGTTTGACAGCATGCCCATGCACATTTGGTTGTTGTGCTTTGCTTCTGAAGGGCTGACAAAGATGCATTATTGTGTCTGGCATCAAAGCCCTCCCGAGAAAGTAGTTTCGTAAAGGCAAGGTGTTTTCAAGACCAAGCCAAAGTTCTTGTCAAGAGCAGAATAAAATATAAAATTGTTTTCATAAATGCATTCTATAAGTTAAAAAAGACAGCCTGATTAGGTGTGTATTTGTCGTTACGCTGATCTATTTACCCATTTTAAAACCATATACGAAGTCCAGAAAGTAATTGCTGCACAGGGCCTTAAAGAAGAGTATGCAGCTGAAAACTTTGTAAATGAGGTTTGGTACTTCTGTTACACTTCCCATGTGGATGTAGTTCCAAAGTGTTCCAAATGGTGCTTAGTATGACAAAATAAGTAACTCAAAACAAGTGGTTTGATAAGTAAAGATTTCCCTATTTCACTCCTGCTTTCACAAGCACTTTCCACTCTAAAATTTCTTTGTGACTTCTTGGAACATTTGCTTCTTTGAAAATATTATTTAAAAGGCTATCTAGATAAGTTGGGAAACAGAAATTGCCCTTCTGGATTGGAACAGCAAACAAAAGAGTCACTTTTTATTTGCAGTCTCCAAACTTGTCCAATACCATCTGTCTTTGGGGAAGTATAAGAGCTGTTGGAAGGAGAACTTGGCCCAAATTAATTAATACTGTGATTATGGTATGTTCTTAAGCACCTGAGTAGCCCAATATTTATTTCATGTTTTCTATGTGTTCCTATGCTTTACAGGTTCTGATCATTGTGGAGAATCAGTCACATTTAACCACCAGTCTTACTAATTATGGAAGCTTTTTCTCTCTGTAAAAGTCCTAAATGACAAAAAACCCATTGTCACAGCCCCCCAAATAATACCAGCTTCTAAAACAAAACAGATGCTCTATACCCTCGACTCTGTAGTACAGGGAATAATTTTACTTATTCAGATGTTTTGTTAACTTCGATGTTTATAACATACACTTATCTCTAAAACATCTGTGTCAATCTAGTTCAGAAATCATTTTCACACCTCTAACACGGCTGTGGTTTGGCAGCCATTATGCCTGCATTCATTTTTCTAAAAAGTTTTTCTCTTATGTAGGCTACAAAAATGGCAAAAATCACTGCACTAAAAAAGCTAAAACACTGTTGACTCACTCCTCATGTTTGATCCAACCCAATTAAAGCTCCATGTGAAATATTTTATTTTTAAAATACTGTTACCATACTGATTTTCTGATCAGTTATAGGACATTATTTTTTAGTGATAGCTCTATTAAATTACCTCTTTAGCATGAGTAGCATATAAAACAGCAGATGAGTAAAAGAGAGCCTTCAGAATAACAAACTCAACAGTCACTCAGGTATTAGCCCCTAATAGTTAGAACTATTATGAGAAAGATCTAAGTGGTTAGGACTCAACCATACACAAAGGAAAATATACCATGAAATATTAGAGTCCATTCTAAGTGTATAAAATTTTCCATTCCATGGTGTATGACAGACCTTAGTAATTTAGCATTATTTACAGAGATACACAACCAGACTAGTAAAAAATATGACTGAGACTGGGTTCAAATGAGTGAGATATCTTGTGTAATGTACAATCAAGAGATGTTTCTGAAGAACCAGTGCAACTTCATAACCTCTATTTCACTTAAAAAAATCTGTTAGCCTGCTAGCTCAGGCCCCCAACTAGGTAACTTGCTACATCCTTTTAATGTATTTACAAATACCCAAGTCTGTGAGCAAATGCAAACTTTGGTAAATATGTATTCTATGATTTTTTTTTCTTTTTAGTTTTATAGCTTTTTTTTTCTGTTTTTAGCTGCCTTAGAGACAATATCCAGGAGAGATTCAGCAGGCTTTTGTCACAGAGTTGATCTCACAAGTGTCAATTCCATTTTTTCACTAAACACAGTTTATAATGCAGCAGAAACTTCTTGTTCTCCAGTAGATTGTGTGTAGGTGGAGCTTGCTCGTTCAGCTGTGTCAGCATAGAAAACAGGACAGTATTTAGACAAGTGGACTGCAATCTGCTTTCGGAAAAAGCTGTGAAGATATTTCCTAAATTTTTCTCCAACGAAGGCATAAATTACAGGGTTGATACAACAGTGGATCATTGAGATTGTTTCCGTCACTTGGATTGCTTTGTGCAGTTGACTATTTCCTTCACAAGTAGAGATGGAAAATGCACCTTGAAAATCACGCAAGAGAATGCAAATGTTGTATGGTGCCCAGAAAAAAAAGTAAATAATCATGATAATAAAAATAAGCCTGACTGCTTTATGTTTCTTCTCGTTCCTGCATTGCAGTAACGTCTTTATAATTTGTGTGTAGCAGCAAATCATGATTAACATAGGAATAAGAAGTCCCAGGATGTTCATTTTTAAGGTGAGGAATTGTTTCCATGTATTTCTCTGCTCTGATGGATAATGAGCACTGCAAGTACTACGTGAACTTTCCTTCTGAGTTTTGTGAAATACTACCCCAGGGACGGAAATAAGAGTAGCAACAGCCCAAGTGACAACGCTGGCGAGGATGCCGTAGGTGACTGTCCTGGCTTTCAAAGCAAACACCGCATGCACTATGGCCAGGTACCTGTCCAGGGTCAACAGGATTATGAAAAAGATGCCACTGTAAAAGCCAAGGAGGTAGACACCTGACAGAATTCGACACAGCGCCTCCCCAAAAACCCAGTCGTGAACTGCGTAATAAGCCCAAAAAGGGAGCGAAAATACAAACAGCAGATCAGAAACTGCCAAGTTGAGCAGGTAGATGTCAGTCATACTCTTCAGCCTCTTGTATTTTACCAGGATAAGGACAACAAGCATGTTGCCTGTCAGGCCAAATATCACCACTAAAGAATAAAGAGGTGGCAAAAATTTCGCTGCAAAGTGCTTTTCCTCAGTTGCAGGGCAAGGTGTTGAATCACTATAGTCATATTCTGTTGTCAGCGGCCAGTCGGTGAAGTCTGTGGTTTCATTTCCCATGGTGTATTGGTCTGTAAAGGAAGAAAAAGACATTAAACTAGAGAAATCTCCAAGCTTTGCAGTGAAGAGAATGAAACATGCTGATGTTCTCTTCTGAAATTCTGAAATGTTTTTCTGATGAGCACACAAGCATTACGATGTCAAGAAAATGAAATTACAGAGCTCCCAGGAAACTCATCCATACAGCTGTGGAGTCTCACGGCCTTGTGTTGGAAGTGTCATTTCCCATGTCTACATTGTCATGTGCATTTTTCCTCCTCAGCAGAGATTGTCAGCTGCCTGGCCTAACCAGAAACAGAGGAATGGTGGATTGAATCTGAGACATCCTGTTCTTGATTTCGGCACTGTGTGAGGGACTGGTCTTCCCCTGCAAGGAGTCAGGGCCTGGGATGTGAGTGTGCAGCAGAGCTCTGAAAGCCCTCAGGCAAGTTCTGCTACACACTGAGAGCAGAGAAAGGCTTGTAACTGTGATATCAGCCCCTCCAGTCTCCAAAGCCTCCCCTTTTCCCAAGTCCCTGGTGTAACTGTGAGTCAGATGCAGAAGCACAGATTTGTGTAACTTGATCTCTGAAAAGCTCAGAGAACTGTCTTCTCACAGTCCTCCAGAGAACATGCAAAAATTCCTGTGTGTCCCATGAGAGGCTTTTATGAAGATAGGTGTTGGAGGGACCAGAAGTGCTCCTGGTTACTTAGTGAGGAAGCGCAATCGATGCCTTCCTTTGGTAGCCACTCAAAGAGAGCTCCTCAGTGTTTGGTTAAAGAGCTGCTCTGTCTTCCTGTGTCACCATGACTGCTTCTATGAGACACTTCATGGCAGACAGGTGGCTGCCCATGGCCCGGTGTTGGTTTTGAAATCAGCCTCTTCCTGGAAGTGTCATGCCTGTTCTTAGACAAAGGCAACAGAGTGCTCCCGATGCAGAAGAGTTCAGGCAGTGTGTCTGCCCCAGCTTGCTGTGTGATCCCTGAGCACTCATGTCGTGCACCAGAGTTCATTCCTTCCCTGAATGCACTTTTTTCAGTGGTGTGGTCTGCCCTGTGTGATTGCAGGCATCTTTTTCAGAGACCACACTCTCAAAACCACCACCATTTTGTTCTTGAACTCAAAGAGTTCAAGAACTCTTAGGCTTGAGCTCTGCAAGTCTAAATATCACTGGAGAAACTCAGCCTATGGCTGGAGTGACTGAGAGACAGGCCCCTGGTCTGCTTTTTGGTACAAGCTCATAGTGGTCCATTCTGAGTTAGAGCTTGCCAAATTCCCTAAGCATCTCTTCGTGTAGATAAAACCACTCAGGAGTAAGGAGTAAGTATTTTCTGCTATAAAAACAGATTGCTTAAAATGCCAGCATCCCTAATCTGTGTCAAAGTGGTTGAATTAGCTAAACCTAAACTGAGGTCTTGGGGAAGAGGCTATTTGCTAGGTCTCTGACCTCAGAAATGCCAGCTCCTGATGGAGATTCTTATGCTGCACAATGTAGATATGCATCTGCCCCAAAAGAGGAAGTTTTGTTGGAGCAAAATCTGCACCTTGTACAAAAAGAAATGCTGCTTTTGCAAAACATTTTCATGCTCTTTCCCCAAGTTTTTGAGTCTGGCTGCCAGCTCTGCTCCTAAGAATAATAAGGAAGATGACTTCCATGTTCATTACTTTGGTATGTTGAGTATGGTGTAAAGTTTTCTTTTGGAGAATAAGGAGTAAGAGAAAATAAACAAATTGTCGTTTGCTAATGCTAATTTTTTGTGTCTCAGCTTTGCCTGATATTCTTGAATTTGAATATTTGCCTGAATTTCTTGATAACAAATAAGTTCTGTCAGCCTTTTCAAAGGCTGTCTTTTAGGAAACTCTGGCAATCTCTGTGAAGCAGTTTTTTTCCGTAGTCATACTATGTAGTTATTACAATGCGGCAGTAATGGTTTTGTTGGTAAAGGAAGTGGCTGTGGCTCTGTCTGTTGTCAGTAAATAACTTGATTTTAAAGTAGCTAAGGGTTTATATTTCTTAAGTACTTTCAGCAACACTTAAAAAAAAAAGTGAGTTTATAAAACACTCTTTGGTGTAGAATATTAAATTCTTTACTTCAAAACATGATGAGACTTGGGCATTGCTCAATTAAATATTTAAGATTTACTTCAGCTAGACCTGCTAGATCCATGTTGCATGCCCTTACAGTACATCCCAGCACACAGCTAAATATCCTCATTTACAATGTGTCAGTCAGCCATGCTGTATACTAGGATTATGGGATGAGTGCTGGACCCAGCACTTCCTGTCTTGCTCATTTTGCACCTGTGGGATGGTCATGCTTAAATATGGGTATGAAAAACAACCAAGTCATCAGCCCAGAGTGAGATTTTGTGAATAGGTGATCCATAGGATTCGTGCAATTATCATAGCAAAATGCTGCCTTGATATTACTGTGATTCTTTTTTACTGTGAATTCTTTTTGTGACAGACCCTTCTTCCCGTCAACTGTTATCTCAATGCCTTCCCTCTTTTTCCTCTGCCTTCCTGAAATGACCACCACATCTTCCCTGAATCTTGTCTTCTTCCTTACAACCCTTTTTGCATGCTTAAGTTACGGCTCTCACTTTGAGCAGTTTCTTCTGCTAACCAAGCCCCATTCCTCTAGCCCAGCCCTTGCTTCAGAAGTCCCTCTGCAAAACTATTTACTACTTTGAATTGTGTATAGTATCCAGCACATGCTGACAACAGAGACAAAAAATACTAATTTGGAAACAGAAAAAAGGAACTGTAAGCAGGTTTGTGCTTTATCCTATAATCTTGATGTTTTAGAAGACACTGTTGGCTACTGGCTAGAATATTTCACTGGGTTAATCAGTTCACCTAACTAGAGGGATCTGACTGAGCTTATATTTCATGATCATTAAAAAAACCCCAAAAGGTAGTCAACAAATATCTCTGAAGAAAGGATATTTAAAGAAAAGTTCTATATTATTTTGATTATAGTTTAAATAAATGCAATATTTCTAGAAACCTGCAATCTGCTATGCAAATTATGTTACTCTGCTTGAGAGTCATGCATTTTTTAAAAGAAAGGCTCACCATAGGAAAGATGAATAAACTCATGTCACTGTTTTGTGCTGAGTTTCAGGTCACAGCTTTCTGTGTTTTAAGAGGCAAAGATTTTATTAAAGTCAGTTTCAGTTCGTTTGCATAGTCCCATAAAATGGTAATAATTATAAGACTGTGGCAAATGGAGGTAATGGGCTAAGTTATGCTGCATGTAAACAGGATCCAATGAGTCAGTGTCTAAAATGCAGCACTAGTTTTTCTTTAATCATCCTGTGAGAAGCCTGAGTACTCTTAAATAACTCAACATTCAAACAACTGTTTTGTGTTGATGGAACAGTTTTAAAATCCATATTTCCATCATTGCATATAATTATCAGAGACAAAATCAGGGAGGCGTACTCCACTTTGTTTCTTACTCAGATCAATCACTAGAGATTTATTTCTTTCCTTACCTCTGCTCAAGTATTTTAGTGATTTTGTCCTTTAAAACTAGTGCATTCCATTTAACATATATTATGCATTTTGCCAGGGTAATTTTTAAAGATGAGTACACTGGCAGGATTCCACTAGTATGTTTCAATTCAGACATTATATTACCTAAGTAGCTACTTAATGTTAAAGAAAAAAAAAAGAGGCAAATATGACTTACCATGTATCTTATGGTGCAGGTGATATCTTGTATTATCACCACAGGAGTAATGCTAAAATGACTTGTCTGTCACAAGATTAAGGTCAAAAACATCTCTTCCTGTGTGAAGAAGGATGTATCAGTTTGAAAACTTCTAGCAAAAAAATCTGTTCTCATTTAAAAAAAAAATAATGAAGGAGCAGTTCTCTGGTTCTCTTTTTTCTAAAAATGGGTCATCAGACGTTACTTTTCTAAAACTCTTGAGACATGCAGATATGTTGAAATTCTTGAGGATCCTCCTAGGAGTTGAAGTTTCACAACCAACAGCTGTAGTTTTAGAAAAAGGGTTCATATAATTATTTTATCATTTTCTTTTAGCTAACCTGTTTGAATCAAGAACAGTTTACATGCAGTTAATCCCTTTACATTTTTCAGCCATTAAATTGATTTTATGTTTTTCTGTTCTTTTTACAAAATGTAGAGCCTTTGAATAAAGTTCCTGCTTCTATTCAGAATTACCTGCTCTGGGTTAATTCAGAATTACTTTCTTGCTCTGGGTTGCAGTCCTTATATTTTGGTTGATGAATCCTGTTTTTCTTTCACCCAGTCTTCTGGACTGAATTTTTTATTTTAATCCCTCTCATAAGACTATGACTTAGTCTATGTAGTGAGCCTGGCCTTTTAAACAGCACTGTTACTTACATTTTGGAATTAAACTTTAGAAAAGCCTGATAAAATCTGATCTCTTATCAATTTCCTTCCTCATAGCTGATTCCTCTGACTTTTAGAGTTAAGCTGCACAACGAGTAGATTTCTAGATCCTTCCTGAACATCAAAGAAATGACAATAGAGGTAAGAAAAATACAGAAAGCAAGAAAAGGATGGTGCCTTACCAAATGGCAGAGAACCCCTGAGAAGATACCTGATAAAGTACAACCCCCTGCCTCACCTTGACATCTCTTGGTAGGGTCTGGAGGATCTCATCCCATCAGTGAAGCACTAAAGAGATGGCTTTTCTGCACTCCTTGGTGTCCTTAAAAGATTTTAAAACACAAAATCCACAAAAAGACACAATGATGTCTTTGGATGCTGCCATTCCTTAACAGAAGTCAAGGGAATCACAACTTGTGAGTTACCCCTCAGATCCATGAGGAGACAGTAAAGAGTGAAAAGCTCACTCTCTTTTCCTTGTCAACCCTTCTCTGCATGAGGGACTAATTTTTATTCCATAGTACAAATTGATTTTTCTGTTCCTTTCCTAATCAGCTGTTCCAATGAGCGCTTTAAAGGCTGGAGTCTCAAGGTCAAAATTAAAGGCCCCTGAAAGGTATTCTAAGGCTATGTTAACTGCACCATGCTTTTTGGACTGACTATATTAGACCCTTTACACAGTCAGCGGAAAAAAATAGCTGATTCTAATACTGTTTCCACTACACTTACAAGTTCCCAATTACTGCCTTGCTTTCCTGAATAAAAAATTCTGATTTCATACTGAATGCTTATAATTCTGAAATAAGGTATCATGTCAAATTACTTTTTCAATATATAATTTCTAAACAATTTACATACGAAAATTAATAGATATTTTAAGTATCTCTTCGTACATTGGTTGCTGTATATGTTACTTAACCCACTGGAGACTCTAAACCCTTTCATAATTTCACACCATTGAAACAGAGGAAACAGTCTCAAACCTGTTGCTGGACTTGCCTAGTTTTCATCAAGCTTTTTAATTCTGAAATATGCTCCTGAGAAACTTGCCCGCAACATTCTGCCTAACAATAACAACAAGTACCACTACTACTTAAAACTAAGACCTGTGGTAGGCTGGTCTTCAGAAATTGTCCCTTGTTCCCACAGATTCATTTGCTTTATTAATGTATTTGATTTTGTTGATTATAGCTTTTAGTTTCCATAGCTCAGTCTGGTCAGCAAGCACAGTGTGGCAAGTTATTTACTGATGAAGAGTATTGCACACCAACAGAGGGCCTCTGCCACTCATGATTGTAACAGCTGAATAAGGGGAATGCACTTGGTCTGCTCAGCAGCTGCATCTTACAGCTGGATGAGAGACTCCCCAGAGAGAGTGTGAATTGCTGTGGCACTAAGCAGCCCAAGTACTGAGTCGTGTGATTTTATTGTCAGCACCTGCAGGATATCTACAATGAGCTCTACCCAGCTGCAGATAAGTGGAGTTGCTGGGAGGTCAGATTTGGTCAGAACTTGCATCAGGCTATAGGCAAGCTCAATCCCCTTCTACTGTTTGTGGGGCAGTGGACGATGTGCTGTTCATCAGTGCTGTTAGGACAACATCGTTCCTGCAGGAATTGGTCTCCCATCCAGTATGAAATTTTAACACACTATCTGACTATCTTGATGCTGTCTCACCTCCTCTTCCCTGCTGCCTCTATCTTGTGTGTGTGAGCTCAGGTATGGATAATGCAAGCACCACATCCATTGTTATAAGTCAGATTTTTTTTCAGCTTTTCTCAATCCCTTGCCAAGCATTTCTTTGAATAAGTGTACTGCTGCTTGTCATGAACGCGAGTGGCTTTTAAGAATCTTTACCTAAGTTGAACCTCATCATTTTACCAAGAAATTGAAGCTACTGTTCAGTAACAAAAGTAATGATTCAGTGGGTTGATATAGCTTTGAATTTTACCTATCATGGTCTTCATTCAGAGATGAGTTGGAGTTATGTTTAGTGGTGTGATGCTCCTTCCCTCCGTAAATATATTCCTGGAAAGGAAGTGAGCTACATTCCCCATCTGTGGGACTCAGGTTGATATAAGTGTGCAGCCATGTACACTGTCAAGTCAAGCTGCGTTTGTCAGTCTTTCCTATCCAATGACTTATCTTTGATTCATCTTTAAGGTAATCAGCCCATCACACTGAAGTGTTTGAGTGGTCCCACGGAGATGCTGTAATTTATGTGAGATTTACACCAGTACCAAATTGGCTATAGGGACACATACCAAAAACTCATATACCACTGTGATACACAAGTGTCACCAAGTGTAAGTATGGGTATAGAAACTTGAAAATTCAACTAACAGTTTCTATTCAAGTTATTGCAAACTTGCACCACCTGAAGAAAGGCTGTGGGGGAAGCAGGAACCCTAGGACAGAATGACAAATACCTTTCTTAGATATACACAGTGTGATAGCGCACAACAGTTTTATTAAAAGTCTATCACTGCAGCAATGGTTAATCCTTTTCATCTGGAGGTCAAACGAAGACAAGTGAACATGAATCAGATGAATCTTATTACTTGTTCTATTCACATATGTGTCCAAACTAGGTTAGTATTAGCATGTGTTTTATTTCATTAGTAACAAGTGCCTTTGTCTTGAAAAGGCTGAATAAAGACGTCTGGTTCAAACTACTTTATTGCTTAGGCTATTTTTCTTATCGGCCTTCTCTTTCAGGCTCTAAAGTTCTGTTGACTCATCATTTGAGCTACCATCACCTAAGGTCTAGCTTAACATCTGTGAGGTGTATTCTTTCAGGGAGAACAGGGGAAAGGCATGATGTACCACACCCTAAGATTTCTATCGTAGAGACTAGTAAAAAAACCAAAACACATCACACATAGGTGTAAAAGAAGATGGGTTACAAAACCAAATTCTGGAAGCCGCAAGCATTTCTAAAGCTGATGAACATTTCCTGACGTTGTTGTTTATTGTCAATAACATCAAAGGTTTGGAGCTTTTTCTCCTATAATTCTTAGGCTGTTTGTTTCTTCTTTGTAAATCTGACACATACGTCATTATAAATTGCAGCACATCCTATCTCTATTGTCATGGTATTGTTTTTATTTTGACTTTCTCCAAGGTGCTCTTACTGAACTATGTTTCCTTATACAGCAAGGAAGAGAATATTGCTTCCTTCTACTATTTTTATCCAGGTTTCTGATGTATGCTTTCCCAATTTATAGATAAAGAGTTGTTATTATACAATAGATTTTACTTTTGGGCCACAGTTATGCATTTCACAAAATTTCATCTCTCAGAATCTCATTTTTACCTATGCCTTTAATTCACACACCTTGGGGTTTTTTTCAGGTACATTTATAGTACATAAATTCTAGGTCTAGAGTTTGGTGTTTTGGGGCTATCTCATCTGTGCATTGGATATGCTCTTCCTGTTTATCTGTAACTCCTGGACCTAGTTATCAAGCAGGGGAAAATCACACACCAAATTTCTTCCCAGTGAAAACTAGGTCACACAGAGGGTGAACAGAGTCTGATGACAAAGTATATGCCAGTAAGGCTATAAAGTAGCTTGAAAGAGTTAAAAAATCACTGAAGTATAGTACAGGATAAATAAAAGAGCTTAGGAAAAATGAAGGAAAAACCAAACATGCAGGAACCAAAATCTATAACCTGAGAAGTAAGAACAGGAGGACACTATAAATCAAGCTACAAAGAAATGAAACTGTTGATAAAGCCAAAGAAGTTTGCTTAGTCATTAACAGAGTTAAATACCTGCCTACAGACTATGATTGCCTCTTACAAAATCCCCTTCTTCACACAGCATGCAGGGTAAAGGAAGTGTACACTCCCTTAAATGGAGATCAGAGAATGCAAAGCCAAGCACTTTAGGTTGGTACACATGTGGTAAATGTTATTTTTTGGTTTTGTTCAAAGCATATAAAAATGAGCACCTGACATTTTGGAGGTGTGTTAGCTTTGTGGATTCACCTTCTCTGCCCAGATATAAACAAAAAAAATATCTCAACTGTCTATGTGAATCAGCTTCTTGCACCAGGTGAAAGAATCCATGCTCAGGACAATACCAGCCCCTAGAAACCATAAAGTACTTTTGAGAGTCAAAGATTAGATATAGTCTATAATTTGCCATACCTTATAGTAGCATCCCTGCCAGGTATATCCAGATGGCTCTTTTGCTTCCACCCATTTGGTTTCCATTCCATTCAAAAAGTCTGGTATCAGGATAGGTCATGTTATTTGTGTTGTGTGGATAGCATCCTACTGGCACAACTGTGTAGACAGTTCTGGAGAGCTGAGCATTGCTTGGAGGTTTGTGCAGTTTTGCATATTGGCCTATGTTTCCAAAAATGCTGCCCTCCTCTGTCTCAGTGTCCCACCTTCCCAGGAACAGTCATTCCAGACTTCAAACACTCAAACCAAGATTGCTCGCTCTGTCACCAGATGTACAAAACATCTTGGCAGTTACACAAACTTCGACAATCTTTTTAAAAATCCTCCTATTCAATTTTTTTCATAAAGTACAGCTCCTAGTAGGCAAGTGTCACCAAAATACAGGTACAAAGCAATGCCTGCACCTCTTTGTTCTGGTTTGGTTGCTATAGATATTCTAAATGCACCAGAATTTTCCAGTTTGTTATTTTTCCTCTGTTAGCTTAAAATTTTTTATTACTTTATTAGGGAGTAATGCTTCTGAGGCCCCAGTGACCACACCAAACACTTCCTAGTGAAGGCCAGTATGCATCAGCAGCTGAAAACAGCAGCAAAATTAAATTTCAAAATAAGCAGTATCTGCCTGTTGTGCCATTTAACCTGGTCAATGTCATGTTATTCTCCTGGCACTATCTTTGTTTCTAATTAACTACAGCAAAATACCATGTAAATTGGTCCTTTTATTCTTTGTATTTATTCCTCCTGTAATTTTCACTGGAAGGATAGATTTTTATTTTGGAGGTTCATAACTGGAAGTCTTTCTTATATAAACCCCTTAAGGTTCTGCTTAAACCTTATTTACCTTTGGTCTTCCCATTTGTTTGGCTAGTACTTTTTAGTATCCGTTAGGGCTAATAAAGTAATTCTCTCATTTTACTGACTACTTTTTTCTGTTTATCCATTTCCATCTACTCCTGTTCCTTTATACCCTGTTTTCATTTATCTTATATAAAATATGTACACATAAGGTTACTGTTGGTTTAACAAACAAGAGAGTCTTATGACAAGAACGTCCCTATGTACTGGTTACCGAAAGTTTCACTATTTCTGTTTGTCCATTATATACTTACCACAGACAAACTAGTGGTATTGATTATAAACCTGGTGGTTTCTGGTGAGTGCAGCACTCACCAGTACCACATATGCACTTTAGCCCCTTAGGAAGTTTGCCTGACAGTTGGCAGAGTTATCTTTTGCTTTGTGTCATATCCCTCCCTACGTGTTTCTGGACACATGGCAGTAACATCTCCTAACAGGGAGGTTGTACTCTGTCATGTTCAGTGCATGAACTTGACTGTGTGATTGGTTTTGGAGCTGTGTACAGATACTTGTCCGTGGCATGTGGCCATTCTTTTCATAAGCATGCTGAAAGCCCAGGCACCACGCTATCTCTTTAGGAGTTCCATGCCAAAAGTTTAGAACTTGCAAAAATTTTCACTTAGCTGTTCAACATTTGTTGTAAAGCAGCAGTTATTTGTGGTACTCAAAAAACTTGTCTTGAATCTGTTTGATGTTCTGGTGAGACTCTCTCAAATGCTTGCTTTTGTCCCCTCAGTATCTCACCAGAGAAGCTCAGATGCCTCCCAACCACTGCAGTCGTTCTTCCTTGTGTTAGTTTCTTCTCTGCTATAATTGCAGTCATGGCATACTGGTAAATCCTTGCCATTTTCCTCACATACCTCTAGTTCATCACACAGTTTGGGTGCATCTGCCTGTGCCTCTAGCTCTTTCATACACACTGTTTCTTCATCTCAATGTTTTTCCCCTGCACCCTTGAGTTATGGAATATTTGTCTCTCATATGTAAAATTTCTACCACTTCTCTGCTGAGGTGACATGAGTTCTCTTTCATAGGGACTGCAAACCTTGTTAAACCTTCCCCAAGAGAATATCCATCCCTCTGTGACCAGACTGCTTGAAGTCCTGCTAGCCTGATTTGAGGCTACCTGGCCTGTGGCTGTACAGTGGTGCAGCCCCATATGACTAAGACTCAAAAACTGCCACAAAACTGTCTAGAGCTCTGCATGTCTCAGTGCAAAGCTGCAATGAAGAACCAAGGATTATCCTGCTTGGGTACGTAACAATAGGATAATGTTTAAGTTTAGTTCATTTGTGTTCCTGCAGCACAAAATAGAAGATTGAAATCAGACCTAAGTAAATAAATAAATAAATAAAAGGGGGTGTGGTTATAGAATTTAGCTTATCCCATGGTGGACAGATGAGAAGGTATGGATCATAGGCTGAAAAAAAGGAACGGGCACAATGAAGCAGGGAGAATGGCTGGGTGAAGCAGAAGCATACTTCCACATTGAACTTTGAGGGCTTAAGTTCCTTACACATAAATCTTGGGACAACAAGCAACTTCTTTGTCTGGCATTACTCCACACTGCTTGTCTGGGATCATTCTATATGGTGCAATGAGATCTCAAATTTGCTGGAGAAAGTCTATGGAGAATCCTGGTTTTATCCCAATATTAGAAGAGTGACATTTTTTCTTCCCACTCTTTCTCTATTTATAACACACACAACCCTACTTCTCCAAATCTCACCCATTTAAAATCTGTGACCCCAGACTTTTTCCAAAGCTATTGTAGGTCACTCTTCTAAAGTTTTCTGATGAATAAAAGCTGTGCCAGCTTCAGAAGCTTCTGGACTGGGACAATAATTCTCTGTTTGCTTAGGTTGAAGTGTGGTATTGCAAGTGCCCATGTGTCTTTTTCCCATCTCCACTCTGAGAGCAGAACAAATGCCGTTTTGCTTACAGAAGAGAACATGGGCTATAGGGTATACACAGATTTTATTAATTTTCCAGACACTGATTTTATTAATTTCACTGTATTAACATGAAAATGGGAAGAAATTTAATTCCAACAAGATAAGGATTTACAATTAAACACAGCAGTAGAAATATCACCGTTAGAGCAGGATTTGTGTTGCACTGAACTAATTTATGCTTTAAAATTATAAAGGTACTTTCACATTGTTTCAGTAAAGATAGGGGAAAAGAAAGGAGAACTATTTTGTCCAAGCAAGAAAGTTTACTGTGAGGATAGTTTTTTCTCTTTTGTGTAGTCCATATATGGCTATTAACTTCACAAGGTTATAATAGCTGATAGGATAAGAGAAGCAGTGCCTGGGTATTTTGAGGCAAGAGGAAGAGTATTTGTACCACCTAGATTAAGGAATCTGATACCCAAATTAAGAGGCTGGCATTTTCAGGCTCCTTCCACAGCTGGACAGTTAATCTTCCCCTGAGACTATTTAAATCCCATAACTGCTCCTGGCTTAGGCAGTTCTTATTCTCTGCTAACCACTAAGGAACCTTGAAGAGATTTGCTGTTAATTTAGGCATCTGCATCACATGCCTGACATTAAATAGTGTGGAATTCCCTCTGGTGTCCTTGCTGGAGATTAGTTGAACCTGCCCCTCCAGATTTCCATGAGCAAGTCCTTGCACACATGAGCAGTGCCCTTCCAAGGAAATGGTGAAAAAACCAGAACGACATCTCACTTGCACAGAGTGCTTGCCTACACTTCTTTACAGTTTGAAGTAGGAAATTGTCTGCTATGCTCCTCCGTCCTCTTCTTTGCTAACCCCATGTCCCTAGAATTCCCTTCTTTTAAAGGGAAACTCTTAATAGTGGAGTAAATATATGGCCATAGTACACCAGTGAGCCAATGGAGCTGAGTCCTCAATCAGCATGCAGTTCTCATCGAGGCACCAGTTGGCTAGAGGCACTCTTCTCCTGGGAAGGCAGGAAGGTATGCTTTGCATGGATTTTGCAGTTCGAAGGCCACTATCTTCCTAGAAGTGTATCCCAAAAGTAAGACTTCCTGTGTATGCGAAGAGCATGTTTTTCCTGTGCAGGAACTGAACTTAACACACCAGTGTCATGTGTTGCCATGAAAACTCTTCTGCACATGATTTACCTGTCCAGAACTAGGTAAGCCTGCTCTCAGTACTGTATTCACATCCTTCAGAGGGTCCTGATATTTTTCTCATACAGAAACTTGCATAGCACATACCAAGGTAATTTTCATTCTGGTCTTGCAGATCTTTGCTGAAAGGCCTTTACTGGTTTAGTGTTTTGTTTGTTTTTTTTTCCTGGAGTGATATGACTTGTCAGAAACAAGCTCACACTTTTTAGGAGTGCATCATTGTCTTGTGCAGTCAGTAAACTTGGTGTGTGCAGTTTCTTGAAAAACTGCACCCACAAAAATCGCATTGCTGATTAAAAGAACACTTTGGAAAAAGTCAGCAACTGAATGGTGATATGACAGACATAAAATTAAAAACCAAAAATCAAAATGCTATAACTTAGTTATAACTGTTAAAGGATTATGTTTAAAAACGACTGCACTATCAGAAAAACAGAAAAATCCTTGGGTTAAACGGTCCCAGTAAGATCTTGTGAGATGACCTATTACCCTTCAGATTTTCAATATTGTATTTCCCCCTCAGTAAATCTCAGTGGACAGATTTTTGTAAAAAGGCACACATATTCGTCTGGGCCCTGTTTAAAACTTGATGTGACCCAGCTATGCAGTTAATGTTTCCTGGAGAACTCATTGATTCTCTGAGTTTAGCAATGGAAAATGCTGTAATCTCAGGGGGCAGTTGACCACAAGAATAGGGGGTCATACAGTTTTCAGCAGTGGTCAACACAAAGATCTTAAATAGTGTCAGGCACTCCTTAAGGCAAAGCAAGTGATGCAAAATTTGCTAACTAATGTTCTGATGTAATGTATTTTTACAGTCCAGTAGAGATGTCGTGCTCTGCAGTGGATTGTGTGAATGTTGAACTGGCTCTTTCCAGTTTTTCACGATAAAGACTTGGACATTTTTTGCAAAAGTGAGGTGCGACATGCTTTCGGAAAAAGGTATAAAGATATGCCCTAAATTTTTCTCCAACAAACACATAGATCACAGGATTGATGCAACAGTGGATCATTGAGATTGTTTCTGTCACTTGAATTGCCTTCTCCAGTTGGCCTTTAAGTTCACAATTTGGGATGAAAAATGAATTTTGAAATGTATGCAAAAAAGAAGAAATATGGAATGGTGTCCAGAAGATGAAGTAAAAAATCATGATTACAAAAATAAGTCTGACTGCCTTCTGTTTTTTCTCATTTTTAGATCTCAATAATGTTTTTAGAATTTGTGAGTAACTGAAAATCATAATGAACATTGGAACAATAAGTCCCAGAATGTTCATCTTTAAAATAAAAGAGTACTTCCAATTTATAGTGGAATCACTTGGAAAATGAGCACTGCAAGTACTACGTGAACTTTCCTTCTGAGTTTTGTGAAATACTACCCCAGGGACGGAAATAAGAGTAGCAACAGCCCAAGTGACAACGCTGGCGAGGATGCCGTAGGTGACTGTCCTGGCTTTCAAAGCAAACACCGCATGCACTATGGCCAGGTACCTGTCCAGGGTCAACAGGATTATGAAAAAGATGCCACTGTAAAAGCCAAGGAGGTAGACACCTGACAGAATTCGACACAGCGCCTCCCCAAAAACCCAGTCGTGAACTGCGTAATAAGCCCAAAAAGGGAGCGAAAATACAAACAGCAGATCAGAAACTGCCAAGTTGAGCAGGTAGATGTCAGTCATACTCTTCAGCCTCTTGTATTTTACCAGGATAAGGACAACAAGCATGTTGCCTGTCAGGCCAAATATCACCACTAAAGAATAAAGAGGTGGCAAAAATTTCGCTGCAAAGTGCTTTTCCTCAGTTCCCGTGCATGGTGTTGAATCACCGTAGTCAAATTCTGTTGTCAGCGGCCAGTCGGTGAAGTCTGTGGTTTCATTTCCCATGGTGTATTGGTCTGTAAAGGAAGAAAAAGACATTAAACTAGAGAAATCTCCAAGCTTTGCAGTGAAGAGAATGAAACATGCTGATGTTCTCTTCTGAAATTCTGAAATGTTTTTCTGATGAGCACACAAGCATTACTTTGTCAAGATGTGAAAGACAATGAAATTACAGAGCTCCCAGGAAACCCAGCTATACATCTGTGGAGTGTCACTAGTGCATGTTGGAAGTGTGCTGTAGGTAGTTTCCCATATGTACACTGTCTTGTGTGTTTCCCCTTCTCAGCAGAATCTGTCAGTTGCCTGACCCAGGGGGAGAGGATGGATGAGTTTAATGAGTTACGGATAGTTTGGGGCTCTTGTGCTCATCAGTGGCTTTCTAGAGGAGTGTAGAAAGCCAGGAAAGCAGCCTCAGGAAAGCACAGTGTCTGGAATGCAGAGTGTAGTCTTGCTTCTCCTCAGGATCTGGCCACCTGCCCATCATGTCAGTCTATCCTGTAGCCCTTACCCATGGAGGACCAGGCACTGGTCATGTGTAAATGGTGTCTGCAAAGGCACTGTGACAACAAAAACAGTTGACTTCATGCACTTCGTCAGGTTGCTTCAAGTGACATTCTGGGAGCCCTAATGCCCATGGGAATTAGGACAGTACTAAACATACCCACCTGTGCTATTGTGGATGGTGAAGAGTGGAAAGTCAGCACTGTTGGTCTGGGTTAAAATGGCAAACACTGGCTCTTTTACAGAGCCTAGGGCAGGTGTAGGCAGGTGTAGGCAGTGGAAGTGTGCTGGTTTCAGCTCTGGAATGAAATCGATGCACAGTCCTGTAGAGAGAACAGACAGACAAAGACCTTAGCAAATGATGCAAAAGATGAGAGTTGCTGTAGGAGTGGCCTCTTGTATCTCTTTGTTGTGGCATCTTCCTGTCAGCTGAAAGGCCTCTCCACTGATGTTTGGGGATGTAAGGAGTTTTGATTCCTTGTTTCAGTAGTTGTTTACAGCCCTTATTCAGGAGCTGCAAAGTTTAGATTGATAGAGTGTCTTGGAGGGAGCACAAAGGCAAAAGGCAGATATGGCCATAGCTAAGACTATGTACTACAGTTCTTCTTGTGATATTGTTCTTCACCCTTTGTCAGTCAGTGTTTCCAGTAAGGCAACATTGAGGAACTGCAAGGGTTGTGCAAACTCTCTGTCCCTTCTGTTTTGGTTTAAGGACTGTTGGAGGCACTGGATTTCCCCTGCAAGAACGAGTTTGGGTGGCAGCCCTTCCAGTCTCCAAAATCTCCTCTTTTCCCCAAGTCCCTGGTAGGACTGTGAGTCAGATGCAGAAACACAGGTTTGTGTAACTTGATCTCTGAAAAGCTCAAAGAACTGTCTTCTCACAGAGAACATGTAAGAATTCCTGTGTGTTCCATGAGAAGCTGGGCAGAGGATTATGTGAAGACAGGTGTCAGAGGGACCAGAAGTGCTCCTGGTTACTTAGTGAGGAAGCGCAATCGATGCCTTCCTTTGGTAGCCACTCAAAGAGAGCTCCTCAGTGTTTGGTTAAAGAGCTGCTCTGTCTTCCTGTGTCACCATGACTGCTTCTATGAGACACTTCATGGCAGACAGGTGGCTGCCCATGGCCCGGTGTTGGTTTTGAAATCAGCCTCTTCCTGGAAGTGTCATGCCTGTTTGTCGCTAGAGGACACAAAATATAGAGCGAGGGTTCCAGTATCACAACAAGTAGCTAGAGGTTTTCATGAGGCAAAAAGCCTTTATTTTGGGGTTTTTCAACCCTTTTATAGGGTGTTCTGATACAGGTTATTCTGATCAGAAGAAGGAACAACACCTTCCTCATCCTATTGGTGGGACAAGAGAGAAAACACTCACAGAAGATCTGTGTCTTATTTTGGGAAGCAAAACCTTGTTTTTACACAACAGTCCTTGGGAGAGAAGAGTTCCCAAAAGACTTTCCCTTGGGAACAATCAACCCCTGAGTGCTTGAAATTCTCTCAGGTTCAGAAAATTATGTCCACACCTGTTCTTAGACAAAGGCAACAGAGTGCTCCCGATGCAGAAGAGTTCAGGCAGTGTGTCTGCCCCAGCTTGCTGTGTGATCCCTGAGCACTCATGTCGTGCACCAGAGTTCATTCCTTCCCTGAATGCACTTTTTTCAGTGGTGTGGTCTGCCCTGTGTGATTGCAGGCATCTTTTTCAGAGACCACACTCTCAAAACCACCACCATTTCATTCTGTCTGCACTTGAGCTCTGCAAGTCTAAATATCACTGGAGAAACTCAGCCTATGGCTGGAGTGACTGAGAGACAGGCCCCTGCACTGCTTTTTAGTAGATAGTCAGTTTAATTATATGTACGGTCATTCTGAGCTGCAGCACGTGAATTTATTGAAGTGTCTTAAGCTCATGTCAGCTTATTCAACTGTTTGAGAGAAGGCTGCTTTCCTGATATGTAATTGCAGAACATTCAGGACCCAGAGGACATAGCTTTGATTTGGATTTTTATCTTGGTGGATATATGTATAATACAAATAATCTTCTTGAACAAATTTTGTTGGTTACATGGTGGTAAAACAGTTTTTCATGTGTGTATATGCCCAAGTAAATATACATCTGAGTAGACTTATATCTAGAATCATAGTACTATAGAACCATATAGTGATTTAGATCAGAAAAGAACTTTAAGATCATTGAGTCCAACTCAACACTGTCAAGTCCACCACTAAACCATGTCTCTAAGCATCATGTCTACACAGCTTTTAAATACCTCCAGGGATGGTGACTTAACCACTTCCCTAGGCAGCCTGTTACAGAGCTTGACGTCCCTTTCAGTAAAGAAATTTTTCCTAACATTTGACCTAAACCTCCCTTATCCTTGCACTTATCCTTGTAGAATCTTTGTATTTGTATAAAAAAAAAAAGTAACTTTTTTCTTTTTCTTCCAAGTTTGGAACTTATTTTGAATTGTAAAACTGGCAGAAAATAATTGTGGGAGCAACAAAACTGAAGTTAACTGCCTCCCTACAGATTTGTCTCCTTTGCTGTCCTAGTCTTGTGTCCTGTGAAGGGTTGACCCCAGCTGGCAGCTAAAGCTCCATCTGGTCAACCCATTCACTTCCCAACAGCAGGATCAGGGGGAGAATCAGAAGTGCTGAAGAAAGAAAAACTTGCAGGTTGAGAAAAAGACAGCTGAATAAGAGAATGAAACTGAAAAAAGCCACAAGAGGTAATACAAGGACAAAGGCTTGCTGCATTCTAACAAGCAGACAGATGCAGTCTTTGAGCAATGCCTACTCTGGAAAAAACTTCCCTCTACCCTTAGTTTTATTCCTGAGTGTGATGTTATTTGGCACAGAATAGTCTTTTGGTCAGTTTATGTCTTCTGTCTCAACAGTGATCACAAATCTAAAAGACATCACCATAAGGGCTGCTGGGAAGAAATGTGACTCCATCCCAGTCAGACCAAGTTCACCTTCCCACCACCAAAATTTAGCTCTCAAATTTGCCCTATACAATTGACACAGACCCTGGCTAGAAAGACAACATGTGCTGTGGTTGTTTTGTTTATGGGCTCTGACCTGGTGGGAAATCTCACAGTGTTTGTATGGTCCTCCTTTTCAAAACAAGCACAAAATATTAAAAATATTTTCTGAGATGCTTTTTAAAAAAATGCTTCTCCTTTGCACATAGGCAATGTTAATCACAAAGAACTCTAGAAAACCCACCTGGATAAAAATTTCTATTGAAAATTACTGGTTGCACTGGATTTAAATTTCTTTTGTTTTTATCTTTAACCATATTTCCCATTTTTATTTTTATTAGTGCAGAATGAAGCATCTTCTGCAGAAGCTGTAGCCCTTGACAAGATGTCTGGTTTTGGCTCTTAAATGATCTAGATGTGAACCTTCAGAAATTAGTGTGTTATAGCAAAGAATTCTCCAGGTTTATCTCTACTCTTGTGCTGTTTAAACATAATTGGAGCAATTCTGATTTCAGAACTTGTATTTAATTATTTGGTTTATTTCCCTTTTTTTCCTGCCCAAAATTACACGAGTTTTCAGAAAGTCGTAATTATTTTCATTTTCTGTACTGCATGTGGTGATCAGTGCCCACTGTCCTGACCACAGTCCCACCATTTCTGCATGCACAGGGTAGTTTTGGTTGCTAACAGAAATTCTGAATGATTTTTGCAAAAGTAGGCAACATGTCAAGTCTAAGGTAGACATATAAGAGGAGAACTTACCAGTTTATCCTATGTTTAACCATGTAAGAGTATCTATGTGAACAGTCCAATAAGAGGCTACAGTTGTTTCCCCTTGGAGGAATGGTTATGCTCTGAGTTGCCAACGAAGCTGGATACAGAGAGGTTTGGCCAAGCAATGGACCAAATAGCAGGATCCTGGAAAAGAGTTCTTGCAAAGAACATCGAGTTACATCTTAGATGGGAGAAAATTTGGTTTGTTGAATACCTGTAATTTTGCAAGCCCAAATAAACGTAATTTCATTTCTCTAAGTTTTAACAAAGCTGCACTTACGGCAACATCAGAGATTCATGTAAGGAAGGTATAGCCCTGAAACATGTCTCTCCAGATTTCTGTATTTTGGTTCCTTTGAGAGAAGCCTCACTAGCTCTGGAGCATTAGCTGCTATCTACAGTGTCACTTTAAGCTGGAAGATGTCTGGGTGCTGGTAGGACTATCAGACATTTCCATGTCATTCCAGCAAAGTAGCTCCTGAGTTGCTACAGTGACTTGTTTAGGGATGACATTTGTCACTGTGGATTTGGACAAAGTTTGCCCCCAGAAACCAAAACTTGTAATAACTACAGGTTACAAGAATATCTGTGCATGAATGGAGCTCCTTATTTCAAAACTGAATGATCTTCCCAAAGTTCCCTTCACCTTTTTGCAGTTTAAGACAAGATTTTTCTTTTGAAATGTATGAGCAGGTAACACAGTGCTGCTGCCCTCACCCTCACTCTCCTCCTTTCACAAATGCCAGCATTTGGCACACAGAAAAAGAAACTGCTTAATGACTTGTAGTCAGCTTAAAAGTGTGTGTCAGCAGCATCTAGGGCACTTTATGAAGAGAGAGAAGTGCAACATAGCACTGAGTAATACTGAAACTTAAATAACAAAAAAAATACGACATATTCTGATAGCAGGCTTGGCAAGCAAGGTACCCAGTGTTTGCTGCTAACAGCTCTACCTCTTTAACTTTGCCTTTGACTTTCTAGGAGGTGGAAAACTACAGAGAAATCTGTGCACAGACACCTGCACTTCCTTGGAGAGCAAGCATAAAAGTTAGAACTTTTCCTGGGTTACCAGGAAAGATGAAGAAAAAGATGGAAGTGTAAACTAAATACTCTATGTAAGATTCTGAACTGGTAGTTTCCCTCAAACACAACTTTTCATGTAGTAGTGACCACAGGATTTCTTTCTAGGATTTGACTGGGGAAAGAGCCCCTTCCAAAATGAAACCTTGCCTGGGAAACCTCTTCCTCTTTTCTAACAGCTGAGCATTAGAAACATTCAGAAGTACTTACCTCCTAACTGATGGGTTTCTCTCAACCCTGCAAAACTTTGAAAGTAAAATATATTCTGGGCTGAAAAAAGCAGGCTTAATTCTCTGTGATCCCTCAGGATCAGAATGTTTACATTCCACATCAAAACCAGAAAGACAGTCTGGCAAAAATTCTGAGCTTTTCTGCAGTTAAAGTCAGTCTATGGTTCTCCAGACAAAAGAAGTAGGATGTGTTCTTACCTAAACAAATGTACAGTAAAAGACTATCATAAGCACTGAAAATTAGCATTCTGAGAAAGAGAAATCTGAGACAGGTATTAAATAGCTTCCTCCCAATCATGAGTCTATGTATATGTGGCCTTTTCTTTGTGTAAGCTAACTCCTGGGCTAGTATGTCTGTTAGAGTATTTTGCTGTGGTTTGGTTCGGGGTTTTCTTCAGTATCTGATGAAACATTGAATTTAGAGTAATTCAAGCAGCAGTTGTAGTCACGACCATTCTGAGGACAAACTCAAGTACAAAATGGAAGGCTAATAGTTTGTAGTGGAGATTTCCAGCATATGCCATAGGATCATGTGATGTCCTCTTATTGCTCCAAGGGTCTATACACTGAGAGGTTCAAACCCCCTTCTCTGTTGCTGTCAATTGTTCCAGGCCAATGACATTGCAATTCTCCCAAGAATGTAAAAAAATTAAAAATAATTCATAGGCTATTGTAGCTTTTTTGCTAATATACTAAGTGACAAGTCTCATTTATCCAAGCAGAGGAGCTCACCTTTTCTTGTGGGTGAGTAGAAAAATTCCAGTGTAGTACTGATGATTTTTATTCATGTGAATCCTCATTAACAAAAATTGCAAACTTGGTATAAAACTGGTATCTCCTTGAGATATAGCTGAGATATGGAGAAAAGACTTTCTAATGTAGTGACTCAGAGACATCACATTAAAAAGAGGATCCAATCCAAATATCCCTTTAAAACATGATAATGAACTAACACTTTTAACAGATTAAATATTTGAATAATACAGAGAAATCATGTAATAGGATAGGGATGGAGAACACCTGCCAACTGCATCTGACAGAGCAAGATGTGACTTAGATATGGAGAGTTAGGTTAAGTATGAAGGATTTCATACTTAATTTTTATCCTTAGCAGAATGCAACTTCAAGCTATGGATCTCCTGGAACTGCTTCAATACCAAGACCCAGTAAGCTTTTGGTACAAAAAAAGACTATCATTTTCTACACCAGTTGCCCAGTTGAATTCTCCACTTTCACATTTAGCCTTATCCCAAGCTGTAAGCTAGTTACAAGACCCAGTTGTTCCCAAGGATATTATCTCTGCTTCAGTGTCAGCTCTACTGCCACTGATTAGGCACATATACTCCCCACTTAGTGAATTTCTCTTATATATACACATATTTAGGAGGAAAGATAAGGAAAAAAAATCAACTACTCACTGTTTCATCAAGCTGGTCTGTGTGTTCTTCTTCTTTGTGAACAAACATATATCTGAAAATAGGAAACAGCACTTCCTGTGACATATTGCAAAAGGAGGGTAAGTTTCTTCTTCTCTGAAAAAGCTCGGTTTCCAGGATGAGGTCAGAACTGGTGGATGAAGACTTTATGGTTGCCAAATTTTTCTGCTTCAGCTGGAAGTGGAAAAGTCATGTTTCTGAACTATTCCATCTCTAAAGGGTTAAGACTGGCTGGTTCAAATTCAATAAAATCCCATTCTCAGGTCAATAAGTATTTCTACCTGCTCTGGAAACTTCTAATATCTACTCTCTTCCAGTTTGGATCCATTGCACCTTTTCCTGCCACCTCATGCTGTTGTGAAAGGTTCCTCTCCTTCCTTGGAGGCCCTCTGCAGATATTGAAAGGCCACAATTAAATCACCCTGAAGTACTCTCTTTTTCATGCTGAACAAACCAAATTCCCTCAGACTTTTCTTACAGAAAAAGTCTTCCATCTCTCTAGTTGTCTTGGTGGCCTCCTCTGGACTTGCTCCAACACTTTTATGTCCTTCCTGTGCTGGGACCCCAGAGCTGATGCAGCACTGCAGGTGGGGTCTCACCCGAGCGGAGCAGAGGGGCAGAACCCCGTCCTTTGCCTTGCTGCCCACACTGTTCTGGATGCAGCCCAGAACACGTTTGGCTTTCTGGGCAGCAAATGCACATCACTGGCTTATGTCAAACCTCTCATCCATGAGCACCCCCAAATCATTCTCCCCAGGGCTGCTCTTGATCTGTTCATCCCCCAGTCTGTGCTGATACTACGGGTCACCCTAACCCAGGTACAGCACCTTGCACTTGGTCTTGTTAAACCTCACAGGGTTCCCAAGGACCCACTTCTCAAGCTTGTCCAGGCCCCCCAGATAGCATACTGTCTTTCAGCTATGTCAACAGCCCCACTCAGCTTGGTGTCATCTGCAAATTTGCTGAGGGCCCACTCAATCCCTTTGTCATTAATAAAGATATTAAATAGTACTTGGTCCCAGTACAGACCTCAGGCAGACACCACTTGTCACTGATGCCCACTGGGACTCCAAGCCATTGACAACTTCCCTCCAGACAGGATGGTCCAACCACTTGCTATCTATCTAACAATTCACCCATGGAATCCATCTCTCCAACTTCGAGAGAAGGATATTGTGGGGGCTGTTCAGAAGTCCAGATAAACAAAATCCCTTCTCTTGCCCACTCTTGCAGTCACTCCATCACAGGAGGCCACTGAGTTGGTCAGGCAGGACTTGCCCTTGGTGAAGCAGTGCTGGCTGTCCTGAATCACCTCTCTGCCCTCCACACACCCTAGTGCAGCTCCCAAGAGGATCTGTTCCATGTTCTTCCCAGGCACAGAGGTAGGCTGACAGGTCTCTGGTTCCCAGGGTCATCCTTTCTACTCTTTTTAAAGATAGGTACAATGTCTCCCTTTTTCCGGTCACCTGGGACTTCACCTGACTGCCATGACTTTTCAAGTATCATGGAGAGGGGCTTAGCAACTGCTGTCAACCAATTCCCACAGGACTCTGGGATGCATCTCACTGGGTCCCATAGATCATTATAAAACAAGACTGATGAATAGTATGGCCACTTCTCTGCCCCCTATGGAGTCTTTTTCAATTTTATAGCAAGGCAACATTTTTCAAATTTGCGCTCTTTTGGCAGCAGCTCTTGACCATTCTGTCTAAGACTGCAGGGTGTTTTCCTACACTATTCCTGAAAAGCTGTAAGACTGGCTTGTGCTACAATTATAGTTGGATTTTTTAAGTTCCTGAAAAATTTATTTCAATAAACCCAGGGATGTATAACCTGATCACACATATCACAGGGAGTATAAAAGAGACTCATAAAGCTGTTTCAGAAAGGCTATAGGAAGAGGGATGTGATGGCTGGAATCACACAAAGAAAGGGGCTGTATAGATTTTGCTGTAAGTATAGACATAAAACCATTGAAAACTTTCAAGCCTGAGCAGGAAGTGCCTTCCCTACAGTGACACAGTGATTACAGGGAGACCCAAGACACATTTTCATTCTATACTATCTCCCTCTGAGGTGCTGTCTGAATTTGAAATTCTTTTTTACCACTCAGGGCATCTCTTCCTACTCAGTGTAGAGGCTACTAATTCAGAAGTCTTGTTTGCATGTTTCATCCTTTGTGAACTACTGTGCCTGGCAGAGAAATGAATTTGCTTTCAGGATCAAAAATCCTGCCTAAAGAGCTTCATTTGCACTGCCTCATGAAAAAGAAGGGCATCACCTGGAGAAAGGTGACAGCTCAGCTCTTAAGGGAGAAACTCCTTTGTAATCCATCATCCAGGGACTTTGCGTGGATGTAATTTTCTGGGAATAGCAGAGGCAGTCCTTGACCTTTTCTGCCCCTGTCTTGTGAAACTGGGGCTTTGCTCAGCCTTGCACAGGGTCTTTCTGGAGTCACCAAGCTCCCAACCAGTTCTAGGAAAGGTCACAGGAGAAGTCTTCCTTGGAAGACCTATGTGCTATTTTCATAACCTGGGGGGTAAACAGCAGTTTTGAGTTTGATGGATCCTTGTGGTGGTGAATGAGTCACTCCCGACTGACTGGTGTATTCTAACTTGAGGACAAAGGCATGGTTTGGCACATACTGTTTGGAAAGAATTTTAATTCTTTGTGCCTCCAATCTGGGTGCTTAGACTGAAGACAAGTGGACAGTGTTTTCAGGCTGCCTGAGCCCCAGCTGCTCCGACCTTTGAAAATCAGGAATGGTCTCTTTCCAAAATGGTAATGCAAATAATCTGAAGCTTCAAAAAATTTGAATAAGATTAAAATACAGGAGAAAAAAAGAAGATATATTCAAAGGAAAAGAAGCATATCAGACACTTTATTTTAAGCACCTGTGACTACATTTTGAACTATAGCTAAATTCCTATCATCTTATAGAGGACAGAGCCTGTTACAAAGGGAAGAATCCCCTGAAAATATCTTTTTCAGCCATGTTGAGACTCTGAAGAAATCCAGGAGAAAGAAATTGTGTTCATTGGTCTAGAAAGCATAGCCTGTGAAAAGTGATTATGAAAGGACTGGAGGATCTCTCAGACTTAATTTCTATGATGTTACTCTACAGTATCATACAGTTACAGTATCTTTCCTGTATGGGTTTAATGGGCTTTATAAACATTAACTAATTCATATAACTGCCTAGGAGATAGAAACAGAGGAAGCAGTGGGAGAAGTCTGCCAAAGTCAGAGACATTGCCAGGAAAAGATTGCCATTTAAAATTAGGCTCTCCATCTCCATAAAAAATTAGAATGAACAGTAACAAAAGAGTACATAAACTTCAGCATGCTAATCCATTGAAATTCTATAAATAGGGAAGTACTTCTTGACCAAAGGGAAGAATCAACAAAGAATGAAGAATTGCAGCCAAACTGTCTTACTTCATTTGGAGCTTCCTACAAGCTGTCACAGCAGTACCACTGAGAGAACTGAGGCAAATCATAATGTGCTTCTATTACTCCATCAGTTGCTGAATGTAAGAGAAAAATATATTTTTGTGACAGTAATACAATGTTATGTGCATACTGAAGTCAGGCTGTGATTTATTTAAAGGCACTGAAATAGTTTTCCTTCTTTCTTGAAGAAGTAATCTTTTCCTGTGGAGGGACAGGGATGCTGAAGACAGCTCACTTGTGGCAAAAATATTGTTAATATTGCCAACAAGATTACCTAAATAGAAATGACAGGTCTTCAGCTATATGCCAGTAAGATCATAGCAAAGATAAGTAATGGCCTTGCAGTTCATCTCATGTTCTAGGCTTTCCATGGAAGGAGAAATGCTGATTTCAGTCCCTGTGTCAAAGCCTGTTCAAGAATTTCAGGCAAAACAGGACAGCATGAGGGAAAGTTCACACTGAGGCAGCTGTTTTCTTGTTGTTCTAGTGTGCTGCAGCCTGCCCTTTTATGATGTAATTGAATGAAGTAGATCTTTCATACTAAAAGAGGAATTTAATAAACATCTTAATGAGAATTGTGCTGTGGACTCCTCTCGAGCACCCTCACCCACAGCACCTCACATCAGACATTTTGCTGACTGTCCTCATGTTTACAGGGATGGGCATGTGGCAACTTCGGTTGAGCACAAAGAGGAGCACAAAGCAGGCCTTTGCAAGGTCTGGTAGTAGGGATTCTTTCCCAGCTCCTCCAAACTGGAAGGTGTAGACTGCAGGAATCATCTCTCCCACCCTTAGTTGGTAGTTGTTTAGCTAATCTAAGGGCTCCCTCTCTAGTCAAGGGACAGAGGTAGGTATTTGCAGAGGGTGACAAACTGTTTTAAGTTACTCCACCTTAGAATGGAATGAGCTCTCTTTAATTATATAAACAGCCTTAGGCATCAAGTTCAGGGTAGACAGCCAACCTGTGCATTGATAAAACTGTTTCAGATAACCTGAGTAAAATCTTCAGGGCTTTTGGTGATGAGAAACCATTTATTTTGGAAAAACATCAAGTCAAATATTTTTGTTTTGCTGTTCTTTGGGGCCGAGGTGATTTTTTTTAGCAGGTAAGCCTGATAATGCTGTCTACCTCCATTGCTGAAGAGGAATAGATCTAAGGTAGATCTAAAGTTGAGTCCAGGTAGCAATGCATCCAGAAGATGGAACAGATTTGTTATGGCACTGTGAAGACTGTACCCTGCTAATGCCCATGAAAACTGCATGTGCTACCTATCATGGCACAGAAGTAAGGCTGGAAATGCAGTTCTCCTTTTCCCCTACATCCTCATACCCATGAAGGTGTTGCAAAACTGTGTTTTTGGAGGGGTAGGAAGATACATAAAACAGTTCCTGTTGGTGGCTTATACAAGTTGCCTCATTATCTGTTCAGGTGTCACAGTACTTACAGCTTTAGGGCACTTCACAGAGCATCGGAGGAGTAAGACTTGACAACAGACATGTAAATAAACTCAGAGTCCTATATATTCTTAAGATATTCTGCATTACTCACAG